GGCCGCCCGGCAAAACGCTTATTGACACCTTTTAATGCAGGGGGGACGCCCGCTAATCCTCCGTCATGCAAGACGATAGGTTAGCGCCGCACGAGCATCCAGAGGTCCAGCTGTTGTATCTCATTCTGCCTGTGCCAGCCTCCCTCTCTGTAATTAACAGGTGATTGGCGGGGGGGGGTGTGTGTCCCTAATTTTTACCCTAACAAACAAAAATCCCACTGCTCCTCCCGCGACTTCTTTCCGGCTCTGCGTGACTCGGGACAGCTCTCGCCTCTGCAGGCGCGTTTGTTACTCTCCGGAGGGGCAGCGCACGCCGTTGCGCTGGTCGTGGCGGGCGGTGAAAGAGCTCTGCCAGGGTGAGCGAGGTAGAGGCTACAAAAAAAGAAAATCGATGGCTTCTGCAGGATTTCATTAAGTGCTTTCCACACTGGGGCAAGCTTTGTCTCTCACAGAGCGGGCGGCTGTGCGGGCGCACGGTGAAAGCAGAAAGGAAAACACGGCTCCAAATCGCCCGTTACTTGTTCTGTCCGCGAGCAGGTGAAGCGTTTTGCTCGTCTCGGGGTGGGGGTGCTGCGTGAAGAGGGCAGTGCGGATGGCCTGCCTGGGACCCGAAGGAAGGAAGGGGGGTTCTGCTGGCAGTGAGGGTTGAGAAGATTTGCTCACTAAATTAGGCCACAAATCAATGCTTTCTGTTTTAGTTTTCAGAAAATACTAGAAATTTATATGCTGATACCTGCCTGTGGTGGCTTAAACTCGAGCCTTTGCTAGCGTTTTAAGTTTTGCAGGATGTGGCCTAGACAGAGCGCACGCCGCGCACAGCGGGTTAGCTATGTTGTTTACTCCATAGCTAGCATGTAAGTGTGCTGGCAAACGGGCAATCCAGATGCTTTTTTCAGAAATTTCAAGTTACTGGAATGGTTCCATTCTGTTCTGTTTGAGCTTCTTTGGTTTTCAGGTTTTGGAATACAGTAGCAATTAGCTTTTCTTTATATTCATTTTGGTTTATGAGGAGTAGAAATAGGGAGCTGTCTGTACAATTTTACAGTTGTTTTCCTCCCATTATAACAGTGAAGTGCTAACAACAGCGTAAGCGAGTAAGGCAGCCTGAGAGTTGCTATTTCAATCAGAGTTTGGATTGCAAACAGGTTTTAAATAAGTGTTGTAATAGTACCAATCTTTACTTACATAGGAAATTTATTTTAAAGTATATATAACTCCTGGTCAATTACTTTTGTGGGATTTTTTTCCCAACGAGGTTTAAAGACCTGCAGAACCCAATTTGGCCGTGCACAGAAACTATGTTTGTACAGGGAATAATTCCCATTAAATCCCAATTTGACTAGTCTAGTAAACTGATTTTTACTTTAATTAGGTTTTTGCTTTTTTAGAGAAGAAAATACACTGTAATTGAAATAAGGGTATGAATACCTTGTGCAAGGAAATGAAAAAGATAGGTTGGAGGCTTCTTGTTCTATAACTCAGTTGCCCTTTTTGGCTGTTGAGTCATTATTTAACCTTGAACTATCATTTAGTACTTATGTCTCAATTAGACCATCTACAAACTGTGCGTACTGTTTTTTTACGTCAGAGAGATATTGTAAAGTTTATTAATAGAAGTCTTTCACTTCCTGGCTTAAAATGCTATGGTATCCTGTAAAATTCTACTCATAATTCAGTATGACATACTTAAGAACAAAAAAAGTATGGGGAAGAACAGTAGTAAAGTTATAGTATACAATAAAAGTAAATTCATAACACGTTGTGAATTCACACAATTTCCTAATAGTTTGTGAGACTTCACACCCAAACGTACCACTGTAAGTGAAACCTTCAGAATTATCAGGTGTTTGATGCTCCATTATCAAACAAGATAATCACAGAAATATCTTTTTGTTTGTTCCATATTAGGTGGTGAAATCGGACTGGAGACCCCATCTTTTGAACGCTGGCAGCATGAAAGGGCTGGAGAGCGCTATTAGCAGTTTTAAGCCGGACCGTCTGCTTTGACTCCAGGGCGTTTGATCTTTTTCTTGCCAGAAAAACGTTTTGAAAAAGCCTTCTGATTATTCCCCATTACACCAAATAAATTTTTGTATTATTCTCTCACTGAAAAAAAATACCTTTGATTTAGTCTAAAGTTTTTGGTTTTTTTTTTTTCCTTACGCAGCGGTACATCTACTTAACAGTCTCAAGGAACCATAGAGTAATTCATGTTGGAAGGGACCTTTAGAGGTTATCTAGTGCAAGCCCCTGCTCTAAGGAGGTCCAAGTCGATGAGGTTCCTCGGAAACTTCAGTTCAAAGGTATTTTTCACATTACAATCTCTGATTTCAAACTGAATATTCAAGTTGTATTCAGCTCAATATGCCCTCAAATGAAGCAGGTTATTTTTAGAGAAGCATGTCACTTTTGTACTGTACGGAGAGCAACAAATTATGTGACTATACTGAAATAAAAGCATCTCACGGGAGAAAGCCATAAATCAAGAAATCCTAAACTGAAACTTACTTAATCCTTCAGTAACTGGGATGAGAAAGACAACTGTATGTAATTCCTGCACTTCCCCTCTAAAGTTGCAGTGCATCTAATCAAATACGGAAGAAACCGACTGCAGCGCTACTGCCAGAAGGCACTAGCCCACCCTGACACTCGACAGGACGATACATGCGGCAATACCCCTTCATCTGTAATTCAAGAGCTAACAACCGTTCCTTGCAAACCAGGTTCAGAGGATGTTTAGTGACTAAGTACTAGCATCTTTCTCCTCAGCTTCAGCTAACAGATTAGGCCTGTTTGAGAAAATTCAGAATTAATCTGTGTGAATGAGAAGTGAGGCTAGGCTCTTACGTACAGATCACCATGCTCTTACTTTTTTTTATAATTATATACAGTTCCTTGCAGTTTGCAAGTGAAAATCACCTCCTGGTTGATTTTTTTTTTTCTTTTCTTTGGCTTTATTCTGTATAAAGACCAGCTGGGATGCCTGAGGGAAGAAAATCTAACTTGCAGCAAATGAATTTATAGGTTGCAGCTATAACAGAGGTTTCGGCATCACCACCAAAGAGGGGCTGCATAAGAAGTACAAAAGCGTTATCTTATACAGAGGGAAAACACTGAGGTTTTGGAATGTATTGACTAAATATGCCAACAGGAAAAGATAAACGCATGAAAACACAATTTGGGTAATATAAATTGTAGCAGAAATACAGGCTGTCTTGAAGTGATGCTACAAGACAAATTAAGGGAGTGCTCAAAGGGAGTGCTCAGAGAGTCGAGGGTACCCTAAACAACAAAAAACCCGCTCGGCTTCAAAGAAAAGTTACTGTCTGCAGCGCTGCGCCCTGGCCTCGTTACCGACGGCACGGGCGACCGCCGGGACCGGTTTCCAAAGTGCTAACTGTCTGCAGAACAAGATTACTTCACTGCTGTAAGGACACTTTCTTAGAATCACTTTTGTGATTAGCTGTTTAAGTTCACGTGAGATCGTTAAATGGGTATGTACTGCATCAAGATGGTAGAGTCCTGTGATACGTAACGAAGGTTTTGTGAACATCTTTGGAAACCAGCCGAGATGGGAAGAGGAGGCCAAAAGGAGGCCGGTGAAGCTGCTCCTAGAAGAGGGGAGTGAAGAGCCTAGATAGCAGAACGGGCAGCTTAGAGAAACCGTTAGCTGTCAGGGCCCTGATAAGAACGCTTTTCTGCTGTAGTACAAGCTCTACGGTACGGTGAAGGGCCAGAGTAACTAAGATGAATTACTGTTTCTCAGGTTTTCAATGTGCAATGAAGAGTGAGGGTATTCTAATGTTACCTCCCGGCAGTATTTCTCTCATTTTTAAATTCAGAAGCTACATTGAAGAGCAGACATGTAGAGATGCTATTTCCATGGATGCTTCCGTACCAACTTCTCCCTGCACCCGTTTCCTCACGCGCAGAGCCACGTGGAGCCCTTCTCTGCGTGTACAACCGAATGCATTTTGTCCCACTATGCCCAGCTTGCAGTCATTTTGGTGGGCTTTCAGTTATTTTGTTGCACAGTCATTTGATGTTTAGAATTTCTCAGCAATTCTTCCAAATCGGGCATTCAGTCTCCCTTCTGTACTTCATGTTAAAGCTTGACACCGAAGTACGTAACTAGGGTTTTTTGCTTTTGCAAAAAAGCACGTAATTCAAAACCTGCTGGAAACCTTTGGATGATGAGTTAAATGTATCCTGAAAATTCAAGTTCAATTCATCTATCGGATGTATCTCAGGCAAAACTGGAGGATTTTGTCTTTCCTCTGTTTCCTATTAGCATTTAAATGCAGACAGTCACTTTCCTAAACCCAGCTGTTTGTTTTCAAGTGCATTAACCTAGTTCTGATTGCTCCGAGTCTGTATGCAGTATTACTAGTTTCGGAAAGAGGTGTTCAGCTGGAATTTAGCGGCAGGGAATAGTTATTTCTTCCCTGGCGCCTGACAAGATTCCCAGGAGCCGCTCGGCCGCTGCCAGGTCCCGGCCGGGGGAGCGGGCCCGGTAACCAGCGCCGGTTTCAAGCGAACGGGCTTCGGCGTGTCCCGGCCACCACCAGTACGCGCTTCTTCGCCCGGGAGTGCTGCGCGCTGAACGACTCCGTCGTTCGTTGCTGGCTTTTCCGCCAGCGCGGAGGCAGGGGGAGGGGGGCGGGGGCCCGCCCCCCG